AATGTTTTGAAAAGAAAGCAAGCCTTTAGAGATCACAAACAACCAATTTCACACTACAAGCAGTCATAAATAGAGCTAAATTCCCTTTAGTAATACACTATTTATCTTTGTGCTTCATTGAGTTCAAAGAAAAGCATTATTCAGAGTGTAAGCAATTAGCTTCTCATTTTTTTTTTTTCTATTCTAGAAAGGATGTTATCATAAAAGCCTGGGATTAGCAAGCTACAGAGCTATCAGAGTTATTCTTAGTGTGTGAAATTTCAATTTAGCAAAACATGTAAAACCCTAAAGGCACTTAAGACCCAATACAGGGAAACCATTTTGTTTTCACAGTATATTTATTTTGCACCATCTTTGACCTTGCTGATTTTCTGCTGAATTAAAATGAGTAGGTATTAAGTTCAGAAATTATTCCGTGTGGCATATTCATCACCAAATCAATGCTATGGTTTACCTAAAAACATTCCCTAAAATACTGTGTCAAGCTACTTGTAGAAAGGAAAGCTCATAGTGTAGACATTTTACAAATCTAACATCAAGATTTTATTTCAAAATAGGCTGAAATGCTAATAAATATTTTTATATGTACTTCATATTAGAAATTGATCTATTACCAAATGTCTGCACATTAAAAGAATTGGGTTTTTCCCTATGCTTAGTAAAATCTATTTCACTATTCATGGTTGATATAATATTACACAACCAATAAAAGTTATTGAGCACTTATGTGTTAAGACAATATTATAGGTGTTTTATACGTATCAGATATGACAATAAAAGTTGAAAAAATTGAGAAATAATTTGTAAGTGCAAAAAAGCAACCCGAATAGCAAAAATCTAGCTCCAGTTGTTACTACTATGCTGTTTTGGCTTAATGGCTATTTGACAAAAATATATCAGATTTTACCTGAAAAATGTTCTTAATTGTTTAATATTCAGCTTTATATAACCACAAACAGTGTAGAGCTCATTATAATTCAGATTTAGACTCACATGTTTATATATTTATGTGACGAGCTGAGTATTTGGTTTAAAATAATTCTTTTAGAAATACATATTCAGAAACACATCATTGATGAGAAACTGGAAGGAAAATCCCAAATATTCAGCAAAACAATGCATCAATGCTGCATCTTTTCTGGAAAAAGTTCTTACAGTTGTAATCTTGATGACTCAGAGAAACATAAAAAATCAGACTGTAAAAGCAGTAAAGGAAGAATAAAATTGAAATGAAAACTTTAGTCAAAAAATGGCAACTTTCTTCTATTTTTTTCATTTCACAATTTTTGCTTTAAGTAGCACGTTGGTTTTATATATAAGGTAAATCTTATCACATGGTAGTAGTTTTCTTTACTATTATGTTAGGAAGGATTCTGAGACTATACCTGAATTAGTCAGGTAATATTACATTGATGAATTTAGGATGCTTTTATTTCTGTCACTACTGCTAACTATGGCTTAAAAACTGAATATACACATTCTACTTTAATTCTATATAAATAAGTCACAGATAAAAAAATAGCTATTACTATTTAATATCTTTTAGTTGTAAAAAATAAAGAAAATGTCCTGTTTTAAATTTTTTATATTAGCATATTAAATTATAAATGGTACATCTATTATTCTATTTTAATGTCTCTATTAGAAATACATTGTAAACTGAATACAAGAATGTTTTATTTCATTGTTCTTTGCTTATTGTGCCTCACAGATATTGTGTTATTCTTAGAAATTAAAGATTTGTGATGACTCTCTGTTCAGGAAGTCTAACAATGTATTCTTTTCAACATTTGCTCCTTTCATGTCTCTTTGTAGCATTTTGGTAATTATCTCAGGATTTCAGACTTTTTAAGTTATTACTATATCTGTTATTGTGATCAGTTACCAGTGATCTATGATGTTACTATTCTAGTTGTTTGGGAGCATCATAAAATGCACCCATATAAAATGGCAAACAATGAATAAATGTTGTGCGCATCCCAACTGCTCCACCAATCAGCCATTCCCCTCTCCTTCTCTCTTTCCTTGGGTCTCCCTATTCCCTGAAGCACATCAATTGAAACTAGGCCAATTAATAATCTTATAATAGCCTCCATGTGTTCAAGCGTAATAAAGATTTGCACATCTCTCACTTTAAATCAAAAGCTAGATATGATTAAGCTAAGAGAGGAAGTCATGTTGAAAGCTGAGATAAGCTGAAAACAAAGCTTCTTGCACCAATGTTAGCCAAATTGTAAATACAAAAAAAGACTTCTTGAACGAAATTAAAAGTGTTTCTCCAGTGAACACAAAATTCATGAGAAAGCACTTAATAGACTAGAGTATAATGTAAACATAACTTTTGGAAAACCAAAATTCTTGTGACTCACTTTACCATGATTTTCTTTATTTTGGGGATCTGGAATTAAACCTGAAATATCTCTGAAGTATGTCTGTACTTCCTGTCACTTGAAACAGTAATAATTGTAATAGTGCATTAATTTCCTCTGAGTAATGTAACAAATTATAATACAGTTGGTGGTTTAAGATGATAAATTTATTCTCTCACCCTTCTGGAAGCCAGAAGTATGAAATCAGTATCACTAGGCTGAAAGCAAGGTGTCAGTAGGATCTTCCCCTGGAGGCCTTAGAAGAAAATTTGTTCCTGATCTCTAGCAACATCTTGTGGCTGCCATCATCACTTGACTTCTGTGGCTGCATCATGGCCACAACACTAATTGTGTGCCATAATTTTGTAGAGTGCTTTAAATATAATATCTCATTTAACTTCGTACAGTCCAATGAGATTACATTTTTCTATGGATCATTACTTCAGAGCAACAATAAGAACATCTTAGAAATTCAGAAATAAGGGTAAGTGCAATAGTGGTGATACTCAATGAGGAGAAAATAAAGCCAAATTTGGAAATGTTTAAAAAATGATGAAATTTAATTAAATATAACAAGCCAAATGCAACAGAAGCACATCAGAAAATAAGAAGAGATATCTTTAGGTGTGTGAGCAGTGGCTCATGCTTGTAATCCCAGCACTCTGGAAGGGTGAGGCAGATGGATCACTTGAGGCCAGGAGTTCAAGATTATCCTGGCCAATATGTTGAAATCCTGTCTGTACTAAAAATCCAAAACTTAGCTGGCATGGTAGCACACACCTGTAATCGCAGCTATTTGTGAGGCTGAGGTATGAGAATTAATCCAGGAGGCAGGAATTGCAATGAGCCGAGATCACACCACTGTACTTCAGCCTGGCAGCAACAGAGTAAGACTGTATCAAAGCAGCAATAACAACAACAAAAACAACAGCAAATTTAAAAAGCCACCTTTAGAAACTTAATGCTGAATGACTCCTAGGTAAATATGAAATTAAGGCAGACATCAAGAAGTTATTTGAAACCAATGAGAGCAAAGAGACAATGTACCAGAATCTCTGGTACGCGGTTAAAGCAATCTTAAGAGGGAAATTTATAGCACTAAATGCCCACATTAGAAAGCTATAAAATCTCAAATTGACACCCTAACATCACAATTAAACAAACTAGAAAAGCAAGAGCAAACAAATCCAAAATGTAGCATAAGACAAGAAATAACTATGATCAGAGCAGAATTGAAAGAGATACAGAAAAAAATCCTTCAAAAAAAATCAATGAATCTAGGAGTTGTTCTTTTTTTGAAAAAGTTAACAAAGTAGACTGCTAAGTAGACTAATAAAGAAGAGAAGAGAAGAATCAAATGGATACAATAAAACATGAGAAAGGATATATTACCACTGACCCCACAGAAACACAAACTACCGTCAGAGAATACTATAAACACCTCTACACAAATAAACTAGAACATCTCGAAGAAGTGGACAAATTCTTGGATATATACAAATTCTTGGAAAAAAGCCAAATCCCTAAATAGACCAATAACAAGTTCTGAAATTGAGGCAGCAATTAATAGCCTACTAACTAAAATAAAAAGCCCGGAACCAGACAGATTCACAGTGGAATTCTACCAGAGATACAAAGATGAGCTGGTACCATTTCTTCTGAAACTATCCCAAACAAGTGAAAAGAAGGGATTCTTCCCTAACTTATTTTATAAGGCCAGCATCATCCTGATACCAAACCTTGCAGAGACACAACAAAAAAAGAAAACTTCAGGCCAATATCCCTGATGAACATCTATGTGGAAAGCTTTGATAAAATACCAGCCAACCAAATACAACAGCACATGGAAAAGCTTATCCACCATGATAAAGTTGGCTATATCCATGGGATGCAAGTCTCCTTCAATGTATGCAAATCAATAAACATAATTCATCACATCAAAAGAAATAATGACAAAAACCACATGATTATTTTAATAGATGCAGAAAAGGCCTTCAATAAAATTCAACATCCCTTCATGTTGGGACAAATCATGAATGAACTTCCATTCACAATTGCTACAAAAAGAAGAAAATTCCACGAACAAGGCATGTGGAGGACCTCTTCAAAGAGAACTTCAAACCACTGCTCAAGGAAATAAGAGAGGACACAAACAAATGGAAAAATATTCTATCCTCATGGAGAGGAAGAATCAATATTATAAAAATGGCAATACTGCCCAAAGTAATTTATAAATTCAATGTGACTCCCAAAAACTACCATTGACATTTATCATAGAATTAGAAAAACTACTTTAAATTTCATATGGAAACAAAAAAGAGCCTGTGTAGCCAAGAAAATCCTAAACAAAAAGAACAAAGCTGGAGACTACATGCCACCTGACTTCAAACTATACTACAAGGCTACAGTAACCAAAACAGCATGGTACTGTTACCAAAACAGATATATAGACCAACGGAACAGAACAGAGGCCTCAGAAATAATGTCATACTTCTACAACCATCTGATCTTTCACAAACCCAACAAAAACAAGCAATGGGGAAAAGATTCCCTATTTAATAAGTGGTGCTGGGAAAACTGGCTAGCCATGTGCAGAAAACTGAAACTGGACCCTTTTCTTATACCTTATACAAATATTAACTCAAGATGGATTAAAGACTTAAACATAAGACCTAAAACCATAAAAACCCTAGAAGAAAACCTAGGCAATATCATTAAACACAGGCTTGGATAAAGACTTCATGACAAAAATGCCAAAAGCAATTGCATTAAAGCAAAAATTGATAAATGGGATCTAATTAAACTAAAGAGCTTCTACATACAGAAGGAACTATCATCAGAGTGAACAGGAAACCTACAGAATGGGAGAACATTCTTGCAATCTACACATCTGACAAAGGTCAAGTATACAGAATTTACAAGGAACTTAAATTTACAAGAAAAAATCCAAACAACTCCATCAAAAAGTGGGCAAAGGACATAAGCAAACATTTCTCAAAAGAAGACATACACGTGGCCAAGAAACATATTTTAAAAACTCAATATCACTGATTATTAAAGAAATGCAAATCAAAATTAAAATGAGATATGATCTCATATCAGTCAGAGTGGAAATTATTAAAATGTCAAAAAAGAATAGATGCTGGTGAGGCTGTGGAGAAATAGGAATGCTTTTACACTGTTTGTGGGAATGTAAATTAGTTCAACAGTTGTGGAAGACAGTGTGGTGATTCCTCAAGCATCTAGAACCAGAAATACCACTTGATCCAGCAATTCCATTACTGGGTATATACTCAAAGGAATGTAAGTCGTCCTACTATAAAGACACATGCACACCTTTGTTTATTGCAACACTATTTACAATAGTAAAATCATGGAACCAATCCAAATGCCCATCAATGATAGACTGGATAAAGAAAATGTGGTATATATACACCATGGAATACTATGCAGCCATAAAAAGTAATGAAATTATGTCCTTTGCAGGGACATGGATGAAGCTGGAAGCCATCATCCTCAGTAAACTAACACGGAAACAGAAAACCAAATACTACATCTTCTCACTCATAAGTTGGAGTTGAACAATGAGAACACATGGACACATGGAGAGGAACAACACACACCAGAATCTGTCGAGGTGAGTGGAGCAAGTGGAAGGAGAGCATTAGGAAAAATAGTAAATGCATGTGAGGCTTAAAACCTAGATAATGGGTTGATAGGTGCAGCAAATCAACATGGCACATGTATACCTATGTAACAAACTTACACATTCTGCACTTGTATCCTGGAATGTAAAGTAAAATTTGTAAGTAATGCCACTTAATAAAAATACTGATATTTGAAGCAAACACTAAAAAACAGATAGCCCATAAGAAAATAACATTAAATATATATCATTAATAAGGCATAAACAAGTTATGTCAAGCAATACTCTTATATTTGGTACTCAAATATGTGATTATTACTATAATATACAATACACTGAAAACTTTCTCTTAACATGGGTACCCTAAACACCGGCACATTTTACATACTTTTCATTACTTACTATCTACTAAAGCAAGAATGATGGACAAAAGGAAATACTTTAAACTGGGAAGTAGAAAGTACAAGGTGATACATTACTAAGCTTGTCCCAGCCTCGGGAAAGTTACTTGGTTTCTTAGTCACACTAGTAAACCTTGGAGACTCCAGAACCATTAAACTGGCCCAAAAAGATGAGGAAATAATTTTCTGGTTTCTTCCATTCTCCTTTTTGTCCATGTTAAAAGTTCATCCTATGGCATTTAACGTCACCATAAACCTAGACTATCACATAGCCCTTTCTAGCAGCAAGACTTCCTCAAAATCAGGACTGTTATTGAGGACTTCTGTAAATATCTAGTCTCTGTGAATTGGGTTGGTTCAGATCTGGGTGCTGGAGTGTTTATAACCTGACTTAATTATAAGAGTGAAAGTTATACTGGAGCCTGATTTTAGCCATTGAAAGAGTAGGACAGGTAAGTTGTAGTGGTGTTAGGTCAAGAGGCAATGGCAATGGTGAACAAGATTTCAATTGTACAGCTGATCATCAACCAAGGCATACAGCATGTGGCCAAGTCCTAGGGGCAAGTAAGGCTGATCAAATTTGGAAGACGCATAGATTAATTGTGGTATAGCCTACCCATGTATCACTAGAATATATTAGTACCTTCTTATACCTCAATCTTCTGTGAAAACAGCTGTCATCATTTTCTTCTCCATAGTACAGGTGTAATCACAAAACTTAAAGCAGTGACCTGTCAGAACTCTTAAAAGACATTAGAGAATATAACCAAACCAAGCTACCTTATCTACTGGATGCTGCAACTGGTCCTAGAGCCTTAACTAATATTCATACTTTTCTTTCCTTTCTACCCATTTTAGATTTTTTTCTCTTCAGCCAGGGTGTCAAGTAGTTTGTTTTATTTGCTTGATGTAGTATCTCAGGATATTCATTCATTAATTGCTTCAGAATCCTTCTCAACATAACGTTTCATGGAACCACAAGCAAATGATTACAGTCAGCACATGAAAAGAAATAATTTCTTCTATTATTAAGAACATAAGAAAGATGACCAAAAATCTGAGAGTATGAAACAATATGGAAGACTTTTGAACATATAAGCCAAGACCATATCTGGAATTAATGTAATTAATACCCTTTCAAAATCAATGACTGACAGCTTGAGTTAAAAAAATTTATCTATATGCATTTTACAAGAGAATACATCATAAAAGGAAAGGTCAAACAGAATAACATGGACAAAGATCTATCAGGAAAATGCATCAACATTAATAAATAATGTTATGATAAGGTCAGAATACGGGGCAATTATTAAACACAAATATGTGATCAATTTATTTGAGACAAAGGTCAATTATGTTACTGTTATTTTTTTTCCTTAAGCACGCTCTAACAAAGTAAAATAGAGAAATCTAGACAAATTAATAGCTAAACGGACAATGCTGGAAATTTTAACGTTACATGAAATCAGCTTGACAAATTAAAGACAGCAAATACCTTAATATACAGAAATGTTGAGTGTTATATAATTAAATTTATAAATACTTATTAAACTTATTAATGTCAAAAAATACTCTGTCAAGCAATAAAGTTTATAGACTTGATTATACATAGCACTAAAAAATTGTGTAGGATGAAACGAATACCCGTGAAAAAAGACTAATGTCTAAAATTTAATTTAGAAAGAAAAGAATAATGAAAAAATAATAATGCATTATGATATTTCCTATTATATTATTTTTAAATTAGTTAAAATAATGTCCTGAATAAAGTTTATGAATGTAGAATTTCTCTGATGTTAGAAAACATCAGATGTATAAAAAGTTACTTCATGTAATCCCAGCACTTTGGGAGGCCGAGGCGGGTGGATCACAAGGTCAAGAGATCGAGACCATCCTGGTCAACATGGTGAAACCCCGTCTCTACTAAAAATACAAAACATTAGCTGGGCATGGTGGCACGTGCCTGTAATCCCAGCTACTCAGGAGGCTGAGGCAGGAGAATTGCCTGAACCCAGGAGGCGGAGGTTGCGGTGACCTAAGATCGCGCCATTGCACTCCAGCCTGGGTAACAAGAGTGAAACTCCATCCCAAAAAAAAAAAAAAAAGTTACTTCAATATTGCTTATTATAGAAAGACCCTAACAAAAATAACAAGCTGTAGTTGGGACACATTAAAAATAATTTCCCACTATAATTAAATAAAACTTGTTTTAGAAATTCATAGCAAGCATAAGATTATATAACATAAAACATAGTAGTATTATAGTCTATATTTTAAGGCACTGGCAAGATGGCTGAATAGGAACAGCTCCACTCTGCAGCTCCCAGCAAGATTGATGCAGAAGACAGGTGCTTTCTGCATTTCCAACTAAGGTAGCTGGTTTATCTCATTGGGACTGGTTTGACAGTTGATGCAGCCCACAGAGGGTGAACAGAAACAGGGTGGGGCATTGCCTCACCCAGGAAGCTCAAGAGGTTGGGGGATTTCTCTCCCCTAGCCAAGGGAAGCCTTGAGAGACTGTACCAGGAAGAATGGCACATTCCAGCACAGGGACTGCACTTTTCCCACAGTCTTTGCCACCAGCATACCTGGAGATTTCCTCTGGTGCCCATGCCACCAGGACCCTGGGTTTTAAGCAAAAAACTTGGTAGCCATTTAGGCAGACACTGAGCTAGCAGCAGGAGTTTATTTATTTATTTATTTTTGAAACTGAGTCTTGCTCTGTTGCCCAGGCTGGAGTGCAGTGGTGCCATTTCGGCTCACTGCAAACTCCTCCTCCTGGATTCAAGTGATTCTCTGCCTCAGCCTCCAGAGTAGCTGGGACTACAGGCACATGTCACCATGCCAGCTAATTTTTTAAAATTTTTAGTAGACACAGGGTTTCACCATGTTAGCCAGGATGTTCTCAATCTCCTGATCTTGTGATCCACCTGCCTCAGCCTCCCAAAGGACTAAGAGGTTTTTTTTTTTTTTTTTTTTTTTTTTTTTTTTTTTTTTTTTTTTTTTTAATACTCTAGTGACACCTGGAAGGCCAGCAAGACAGAACCCTTCACCCAACTGGAAGGATGGCTGAAGCCAGGGAGCCAAATTGTCTTGCTCAGTTGGTCCCATCCACACAGTTCCCAGCAAGCTAAGATCCAGCAAGCTAAGATCCACTGGCTTGAAATTCTTGCAGCTATGACAGCAGTCTGAGGTCAATCTGGGATGATTGAGCTTGTTGGGAGTTGGGACATTCAACATCATTGCTGAGGCTTGAGTAGGTGGTTTTCTCTTCACAGTGCAAACAAAGCCTTCAGGAAGGTAGATCTGGGCAGAGCCCACCACAGCTCAGCAAGGCCTCTGCAGCCAAAATGCTTATCAAGATTCTTCCTACCTGAGCAGGAGATCTCTGAGCAAAAGGCAGCAGCACCAGTCAGGGACTTATAGATAAAACCACCATTTCCTTGAGACAGAGCACCTGGGGGGAAGGGGTGAATGTGGGTACAACTTCAGCAGATTTAAACATCCCTGCCTGACAGCTCTGAACAGAACAGTGGATCTCCCAGAATAGCGTTCCAGTTCTGATAAGGGACAGACTGCCTCCTCAAGTGGTTTCCTGACCCTCATGTATCCTGACTGGGAGACACCTCCTAGAAGG